TTTCGAACTGGAAGAGCTCACATAGAGTCTCTTGAGAGTGGTGCTTGGATAGGCCACTGATATATGAGAGTGGTGCTCTGGGAGGCCACTGGATTTGGGAGAGTGGTGCTCAGATAGGCCACTGGGTTGGGTGAGTCTCCTCTAAGTCCTTAGCTAGTGTTGGAGCGGGGTATGAGGTCGAGGGTTATTCCCTTAACCAAGTACTCGGGAAGGTGCGTGGATCCTTGCGGATAGTCGGTGGGCGAACTCCACAATTGACTTGGTTAATGCATGCCAAGGTCGTGGTAAGCCCGTACCCAGCTGTGCTATACCTGACGGTGGATCTGGACTTCCAAGTGTGTAAGTGACATCATCCGAGTAAACCCGAGTGAGGAGTATATATCCTGTTTAGCTGTGACCGAGCGAGCGCATTGGGCGTGAAAACGGTTGGGGTGGTTTCGGTAGGATGGAATGTCACTTATACAGCTCTGTTGTTATGGAGATCTCCTAGGTGTATGCGTGACGACGCATTAGATGATTGAGATGCATTTATTGCATGATTAGTAATATGATGAAGTGTGGTGTTTGACTTCATGTTTGATGAATGAATGATTGATTGAGATGAAAGGTTCCTTAGGGACAGGATTTGGGATGTATGTGTAGTATAGATTTTTATTTTGTACTTGTAATCTTGATTTTTTTTTAGTTCTAGCTTACCCTTTTGTTTCCATGTGGTGGAACTGCGATGATCATACTTGGTATGGGAGCAGGTCAGGAATAGCTTGGAGTAGAGGTGATCGTTGCGAGACGAGGAGCTGAGTCTCGTGTTTAGAGTTACCATTCTGGGTAACAATTTCTTTTTTTTGTTAGTGCTTGACCGGCACTAAGGAATATTTTGGGATGACTGTAAATATATGGTGTTATATTGTATATACAGAAACTTAATTATTTTGATCTTTATATTTATGCCTGTATGTATGTGTTATCCAGTTTAATATTCTCTTAGTTAACTAGTTGTATTGCGATTCCACTAAGTGTAGAGACCGTGACGGGTCGTTACAATATTTTTGAGAATTTCTATGGTACCTTCTATAAAAGAAGGGTACCAATACAGTCGATGATGATGTGTCAGATGATGTGTCGTTTAAATAAATTTACGTGTCTTATATAAAATCCATGTCATTTTAAATTTTTTATTTATTTAAATTCACAATTGAAGTTCTCGTTTTATAATTTCGTATCTTTCTGGCTTCTTTTTAGCTTTCTGTTTCTTTCCTCTTTTCCCCGTTCTTTCTCGCCGACAATCTGGTCTTGTGGGCCGGCGAGTCGCAAAGGTGGAGAGCGCGACCGCCGGCGAGGCGTGGAGGAAGAGCATGGCGGAGAGGGAGAGGACATCAAAGCCGCCGTCTTCTTTCTGTGGTTGAATCAGGCCAGGGCCTCGACCACGTCGCTTCCGCCCGTGATTTCTAAAATAAAAGGGGTCATAGCGGTCTCGGGCTCCCGAGTGGTAGTTTGGGTTTGTTTTTGGAGCTGGGAGGGTGGCCCCTGGGGCGCCTGATCACTTCAATTGTGGCTCCGTGGCCGGCGGAGGCAGAAGCGGCCTTGGGGCGGGCGTGGTGGTCCATGGGCGTTTGACACACCAACGAGAAAATGGAGAAGGTTCATTCTTCATCGGTTGCTCATGGCCACAAGAGCGATTCAATGAGAGTGCCAGTGTTTGTGATGCTGCCACTGGACACAGTAACAATGGGAGGGACGGAGGGGCGAGGTGGGAGACGGAGGGGAGAGGAAATCGTATAATTATAAAAATATTAATAAAAATATAAAAGTAAATAATATAAAAATTTAAATATAAATTAATTTTTATTTAAAAGTCTGACATGACATTTGACATGGCATTTAAATTATGTGTACATATACACATCAGATACAGTACCAAAACCTCTCATTTATCAAGGGTACAGTAGCAACTCCCAATATTTTTTTGGTAGAAAAATTCTTAGAAATCCTTCTAACTTGATCCAAATCATTAACACAAACTAAGATGTGAAACCCCCGTCGGCACAAATAACTTGTCCAGTGATGTATGATGCAGCTGGAAGACAAAGAAAAGCGACAAGTGATGATATCTCCTTAGGTTCTCCCATGCGACCAACAAGTGTTCGAGACACTGCTCCATTGATAGAGTCATCCCCTCCAGAAGAATTCTGTAAGAGCAATCAATATGAGTTCTTCAGCAATTGATTATGGCATAATACTGATAGTGCTAAATTATAAAATTCACGTACCCTTCAACTTTGTATGACTAGTGATTTTCATTCAAGATTAAGGGAAATAATACATATAAGTTTTGCAACTAGTAAATTAATCTTGATATGTATGCATACTCATTATTGATATATAAAAGAAATATAAATGGACAAATGCATATATCTACCATGATAGATTCCAGAAGTTTAGTCTTAACAGGCCCAGGTGCTACAGCATTTGCACGAATATTGTCCTTTGCCCATTCCAATGCTAAGTTTTTGGTGAATTGATTCATGGCTCCTAGTAAATTAAATAATATGTATTCAGATTTATTATCTCAAATGAACCAGGCTAGATTCACGTCAGAAATCACAATTATTGGAAATGAATAAAATGAAACATATATACATATATACTTTTAGACGCTGCATAAACAGAAAAAACTGGAACAGCTCTTAACCCTGCAATGGAGGAAATAAATACTATGCTTCCGTAGCCAGATTCTTTAAGAAGTGGGTGTGCAAGTTGACTCAAATGATAAACAGACTCAAAATTGGTTCCCATTATGGTTGATACATCTTCTGCACTGTAATCAACTATTTCCTTTGTTATATTTGTTGCTGCATTGTTCACCTATAACAGAACCCCTAATCAATTCAAGTATAAAGATCTAAAAAATCGAATCAGAAAATGAAGAATCACATATGAAGGTTATTAAAAATAGCTAGCTAGTATTAACTATGAGTAACAATAAATATATATAGAGAGATAAATGGACACATGGAACGTGTTATGAGAAGAAAAAAAAAATGATAGAATGTTACTAGAATATTGAGCTTTCCATGAAAGATGGAGCAAACATCTTCCATTAATTTTTTACGTTGGTCAGAACATTGTAAATCACATTCTGAACCCGTCACATTAAGTCCCTTGTTTTTCCACTCTTTCAAACACTTATTAATATCATCTTGATTACGGGCACAAATATGAACAGTTGCTCCAAACTCTGCTAATTCTTCAACAATGGCATGCCTAATTCAAAATGAGGAATCAATGAAGTGAGTGAAAACAAATTAAGGTACGAACCTTTAATTAGAAATAATATTAATGTAAGAAGAATTAAGAGAAACCAACCCAATGCCTCGAGTGCCTCCTGTCACTAGAGCCGTCATCCCATGGAGTGACCATCTTTTATCCTTCATGCTCAACTTTGTTTCGGCCATTATTTTTTGTTGTAATATATGTTGGTAATGAACGAGCTCCTTAAAAGGAATGGCAATACAAGTCTTTATAAAGAAAGACAACCCCAAATAGCCAAATAGTTATACACTTCCAAGAAATGGGAACCAAATTCTTTCTAATATATATGCTGGTTCATAAGGAATTATAATATTTAAGATTATTTAATAATTTCTATTTTTTATCTATCTAAAATTTATTATAAATTATAAATTTTGTATAGTCGAATATTTCATCATAAAATATTTTAATAAAATTTATCAAAAATTTGTAATTTTTAATAATATGTTAATCTATAATCAATTGTTAAAAAAGATATTACTAGTATTCTTCATTTCTTTGTATAAGAGTTTCAATTATTAAAGATAATTATTTTTTTATAACTTGACAATGAATAATTTAATAAGTTCAACAAATTTGTTATTAAGATAAGTTTTAGTGATATCTTAATAAAAAAAGCCTTAACCTAAGATAATCTTATCAAATTAATTTGTAAAATAAGGTTTATTCTTACTTTTGTATTTTTTTTTGTTGTACTTTCTTGAATTTAAAAGTATTATTAAATAAAACATGAAATTTATAAAATTTATAATCATTAATAAATTTTAATTGATCTCACCATGAATTTATTTTTTTCTTTATACGTTAAATTAATTAAATGTCTAATTAAGCTTTTTTTATATAGTATAATATGGTACAAAATATTTATGTCAAAAATGATGATTAATGTTTAGTCAACAAAAGTTATGTTTTGCAATTGCAAATTAATTATTTGTATAATTTTATTTATTTTTTATTTTTTATTTTTTATTTAAATAAATTTAATAAATTTAAATAATTTTAATGAGTGAATAAATATATATTATAAATTTATTTTAATAAATGATATTTTTATAAAAAAAAATATGTATAAACACAAGAATATACTATTGTAACTAAATATAAAAGTTTTTAATTTTTGAAAATTAGTATAAATATTTCTTGAAATTTTTATGGTAATCAAGCATATTTTTAACTATTTTTAGAAATTTTGACATTTGTAATTTTTAAAACTCATGCTTCCTAATATAAAAAACTTCTCCATTATTAAATATTCCTTAAGTAAATCATGTCAATAAATAAAGAAAAAAAATAGTAACAGTTTATATAAAAAATTATAAACATATATAAAATAAGTTTTTCTTTTCAACAATGTCAATTTTATAAAAAAGAAAAATTAACTCTAAATAAATTAGTCAACAGAACGTACTTAAACTCTAAATAAATTAGTGAAAAGAACGTACTATTTTCACTTGTGCTGATTAATATCGTTTCTAATTAAGTCTTTTATTCGATTGTTGTAAAATCTATTGTGCAAAACGATTCGTTTCTAATTAAGTCTTTTATTGATTGTTGTAAAATATATGGTGAAAAAACGTGGGCCGATGCACCATAATAAATTAAAAAAAAAAAAAAATTTGGTCACGTTAAATTTAGAAGAACCAAGAAAGTATCAGTAAAAATGACGATTTCTTAAAAATAAAAAAAGAAAAACTACACGTGAAATTATAGAAAAAAAAAATATAAAAAATGTCAATATTATAGATATTCAATATAAAAAATGAATTAAATAAAAAACGTCATTTGAATTGAGTTTTGTATTAAGAAAACAGAGTCACCTATGACTTGACTTTGACGTTTTATGTCTATTGCTAAAAAAAAAAGACAAAAATGGCTAAAAATTAGCGTCGACCATGATTAATTGTATGTTGGCACAATAATTATCTAAGGACAGACTATTATTGTGCCTTCCATGCCTCACTTTCTCCCAGTCAGTCAAATCCTCACGTCATTTCTACGTCACCCATTCCTCATTAAAATTTTTAACCAGAGATCACTCAATCTTAAAACTATCCCCACATGCATTTATGTCACTTTTTTTTTCTTCTTAATTTCACTAAAATTCAATGAATTGGTGTTTGATTATTCTTATTTTTTATTCTATTGTACCCTAATATAGAATTTGATGGACTGAATAGAAAAGTGAAACACACTTCATTTGACGAGTTTTGTATAAGTTTTATTTCATATTAAAAATATTATAGTATAAATGATACTATTATTTTACTTTCCCTCCAATTTTTGAGATTTTCTTTTACATTACAAAATGGGGCAAGAGCCCAGACGATGGATTGCTGAGACTTGAGAGAGTCATAAATGCTCTTCAAAAATTTATTGTGCCTTTAAGTTAGGTGGATTATTATTTTTTATTTAATTATATTTTTATATTCTAATTGAAAATAAAACCATACCTATTGTAGTGATTTCTTTCTGCATGCACCCAACAGAATTATTTCTATCATACAAAAATTTCAATCACTTTTAAGTAACAACACTAATTTAATTCAATATGTATAAAACGTTAAAGTCGTAGACGACTTTCTTTTCTTAATATAATACTATTTAATTTATTTTTTACATAAAATGTCTACAATATTGATGTTTTATGTACCTTTTCTTTCGTAGTTTTTCTTTTTCATTTTTAAGAAATTGTCACTTTCACTAACGCTTTCTTAATTCTTCCAAATTCGATGCGGTCAAAATTATTTATTTTAATAAATGATTTTTTTATTAATTTTTTTTTATAATTTTTTTTTAATTTATTATGGTGCATCAGCCAGAAAAATGTATACTCTTGATTTTCTGTTTTAAGCCATGTCATAGATTGTGTTCATTAAAAAAGTAAAATATATGTCAAAGATGTTAGGCAATTCCTTGAAAAATGTAGAGAATCTGAACATGCTCTACAGTCGTTCTCGTTCAGTGGCTGGCAGCTGACTATACTGCCATAATTAAAGGGTTGTACTATGGTTGCAGTGAGGCTTCACTTGTTCAATAATTATATTATGGTGTGTGGTGACCACAAAGTTTACGAATGTAAGAAATTTTAAATTTTTAATATTTAAATTATTTTGATTTTGATTTTTATTATTTTTAAAATATTTTATTTAAATAAATTAATAAGAATTTCAAATATCTTGAAGTAAAATTTTTGGATGAAGAATTTTCAAAGAATTTAAAATTTAAATATTTATGAAAATTTTTAAAATAGTAGAATTTCAAATTCTCTAAAAAAAAATCAGAATTTAATTTTAATTTAATTTTTTTCTTTCTTTTATATATATATAT